TCAGGTTTGAGTTTGGTCTGTGGCTTGGCCACTCAAAGGCACTCAAGGAGTGGTCCTGAAGTGGTCCTTTGTTATCTTGGCTCTGTGCTTAGGTTGGTGGTCCTCATGGAAGATGAACCTTCGCCCCCAGGTTGTCTTCAAGGATGTCTCTGTAGATTACTGCATTCATCTTTCCCTTGTCCCTGACTAGTCTCCCATATTCTGATGCTGAAAAACATTCCTGCAGCACGATGCTGCCACGACCACACGTCACTGTTGGGATGGTATTGGCCAGTTGATGATCACTGCCTGGTTTCCTCTAGAAATCATGTTTGACATTGAGGCCAAAGAGTTCAGTACCAGTTGTTGTTTTGTTTCTCTTGGTCTGAGAGTCCTTCGTGTGCCTTTCAGCAAACTCCAAGTGGGCTGTCATGTGCCTTTTACTGAGGAGTGGCTTCTGTCTGGCCACTCTAGCATCATTCTCCTCTCTCCACAGAGTAATACTGGAGCTCTGTCAGAGTAGCCTCCCTGACTAAGGCTCTTCTACCCTGATAGCTCAGATTGGTCAGGTGGCCAGCTCTAGGAAGAGTCCTGGTGGTTCCAAACCTTCCATTTACAGATGATGTAGGCAACTATTCTCACTGGAACCTTTAATGCTGCACACATTTTTATGGACCCTTCCCCACATCTGTACCTCAATACAATGCCGTCTTGGCCTATAGACAGTTCCTTGGTACTGGGTATGGCTTGGTTTGTGCTTTGACATGCACTGTCAGTTATGGGACCTTGCACAGACAGGTGTGTGCCTTTCCAAATCATGTCCAGACAACTGAATTTACCACAGGTGGACTCCAGCTGTAGAAGCATCTGACAGATGAGCAGTGTAAACAGGGTGCACCTGAGCTCGATGTTGACTGTCATGGCAAAGCCTGTGAATACTTATGTGCATGTTATATTTGTGTGGGTTTTTTTTATTTTTAATACATTCGCAAGAATTTGAAGAAAATGTTTTTCACTTTGTCATATGGAGTATTGTATGTAGAATGTTGAGGTGGAAAATGAATTAAATTAATTTGGAATAAGGCTGTAACATGAAAACATGTTGAACAAGGCTGTAAATCTTTCTGGGTGCATTGTATGTGCTTATTTTTTTTTTTTTTTCAAAGAGTTAGCAGAGAAGGTCGGTACCTGTGTAAGATTTGTAAATTACCTATGAGGCTAGAGCCAACAGAGAGTTTCTTCTAGCAAAGAGCAAGAAACAGACAGAATCACAATGGTTCTCTCCAAAGGTTTAAATCTCGGCCTTCCACAATTAGCTCATGAACTAATTGATAGAAATTCACATTTTCTGGTTATTTACTCTTAAATATCTCTTGGATTAGTTCTGTAGAAGTCATATACTCTGTCCAGGGAGCACCATGCCTCTTGAAAGCTGGGATAGGTTTCAGAGATGTCTCTCTTGGCTCTTACGCCCTATAACCTTCTGCATTCTTCTCTGGTTGCACGATAATAGTCACATACAACCGGCTTGTAAAATAGCTTATTGTCTCATTACGCTATAGTTTTTAAACAGATATAACATGATAACTAGTGGACTTTGGTCCTGCTGCTCCATGTATTAGTGCAGGACATTGCTAACTTAGCTGTTTCCAGTCTTTATACTACTCCTGATGTTAACTGGCTGATGTGTTCATCCATGTATCCATGTAATGAATCCATTAGGCACATTTCTCTTTCTATGTTTATTCTCAGACTGAACTCAAGTAGCCTTTTATCATTCGCAACTCAAAGTAATCCTTGTTTATCTTAGTTTATCCTCTGAAAACAAAACTTTTTTAGCTCTCTTCTCCCTCCCTTTTCTTCTAATTGGCCGCTCCCCAAAAACAGCCATGCCCACTCAATGACATCAGAGTAGAAAAACATCCTGAAACAGATTGTTCAGAACAGTCTGGTTCACAGGAATGAATTACATATGCACTGACCTCATTATTTGAAAATTTGGCCATGTTTAAAATGAACATCTACCACTTAAACAGTTTAATAAAAGATACCAGGGTTCAATTTAATTGTCAAATAAGACAGGAGTATTGATATTTCCCTCCAACTCCATACACTAGAAACTAAACACATGCAAAATGTCACACTGTTGTTTCATAAGAGGGATGAAACATATGCATTGGACATGCATTTGTTAAATATTTTCATTGAGATTTTAAAACTTCACGCATCTAATTAATTGTACCTTTGTTTCTGTATAATGTACCCAGATAGCAAATATCTGTTGGGGCCAAGTCATTTTCAACTACTCAATTATCAAAGGTAAAATTTAAATCTGAATTATTATGGTCAATACTGAGTTTTTTTTAACGAGATTATTCATAGACTTTGGAAACAGTTGAGCTGGAAAACTAATGTGAAGTTGAGGCTTTAAGGGAGCAACTGCTGTAAAACTGAGAGCATCTTTAATAATCACTTAATCTCAGTTACCATTATAACATTATTTTACTCCTTGACCCTCCGTGGAGTGGAGGGCAGAGTTTGTGGCCGTGTGCTTTGTAAAATTATGGCAAAACAACTTTTTAATATCATTCTCTGTGGAGGAAACCAGGTGATAAAAATCTAAGCTGAGAGCCCAGAGCTCAGACGAGCCATAAATATGAAGCAGTTTGTTTGAATTTATTCTTCAGAAAAAAGACAGCCACCAAGGCCGGCATGATTCCCCAGCTCCCCCTTTTTGACTCGCCTCCTTGGAAGAGGCCAGAGGAAAGGAAGCAGGCTGCAATGAAGGAGTTGAACGAGAAGAAGGCTATTCTCGAGCAGAAGAGAAAGTGAGCAGATTTCGGCCTGGAGAACAAGAGTTGTTTTGGTTTTTTTTGTCTCTGATCTGTTACAGAGTGTATTGTTATCTGACTCTCCTGTAGAAGCCAAGTGTCTCTTCAGAAGTGCTGCACACAAGCCAGAATCTCACAAGACAAGAAAATGTCTGAGCACAAAGAGAAGAAGCATGAAAGACAAAAAAGGCGTGAGGTTTGTGTGTGCTTGGGTTTTCAGCTGTCATCCTGCCCACCACCAGAGGGCACTAGAGCACCACCTCTGACACACTGGTTAAAGGAGAGAGGCATAGATATATTGCCATTAAATGAATCATTTTGATGTGAGTGAATGGGTTTTCAGACAGTAGCACCACCATGGTGGTGATGAGACAGCAACAGTTTCCACTGGCGGTAATGGAGCATGCTGGAGGAGCCATCAGTGCTGATATACACAGGGAGACACATTATAAATCTATCATTTGACTTTCAGCTCCATTTTCATACATATATATAGTGGAGAAAGGGTGCCCATTATGTTTGCATGGGATCAGCCTGACATAAGGGAAAATTTATTGTAAAGGAAAAAAGTCTTTTTTCTTTTTTTTAACTGAACACAGTGCAGCCACAGGCTACATCTTTGTATGATGCATTGCAAGAGTTGTATCGCTTCACAGGTAAATGTAACAAGTACTTCCTTACCCTGTTTCAGGAAGCAGAAGTAGATTCAAAACCTGGTTTTGCGGACAGCAGTGGTGCTCCTCGGACATCTGGCAGGTGTGAAGGGGACAGGTAATGACAAGCTCTGGGTCTGCTGTTAGTTCTGCCAGTATACCTCTAAGCTTTAACAGTGACTGCATTTGTCTCTGTGAAGAGTACTTGTCCTACTTGTGGTTTAAACTTATAATCATCTCATCAATGAGCCTAACGAGAACTCCACAAGTACCCACTAAATGGCATTTTGCATGGTTTAGCAGATGCGAGTTCTGCTACTAAAGATGTAAAGCTAGAGACACCTAGTGGACAAAGACAGACTGCACACATTATAGAACATAAGCAGATTTCTTTGTTCCTTTTAAACAATGTTATGTCTTTGCAAAAACAGATAAACCAGGTAAGACAGTGCCACTTTTCTTATTTTATTTTTACTGATACAAGGAAACAGAGAAAGTAACCCTTTGGGTTATATCTGTAAAGGCTATAATACTTAAACACCTGTATAGTGTTGTATATATAGATTTTGACCTTTGAACTGCATGGCCCTAAAGATCGGCCCGGGACCTGGAACGGCAGATTTGTGCCCGTGCCGAGAAGATACAGGAGAGGTGCAGGAATCCCAGGGGCACAACAAGCGAGCAGATGGCAGCAGCGATGGAGGATGTGGAAGAGGTCTGACCTATAATTCCCATTCATTGTGCAACTCATTATATAGGTTAATATAGATTATTGATCTAAACTCCACTTTTCTGGCTGACAGATGAGGAAGTTACAGATGCGGCTCCTGGAGAGGAAGAGAACTCAAGGACGAGATCTTGAAAAAACTTTCATGATCTTTACTGGGGACACCTGGCCTGGTTTCCTTGATAAGTGACAGAGACTACACACCTGCTGTTTGAGTTTTTGTGATATTTAATTGATATGGAAATAAATCAATAAAGCGAATAAATCCTTTTGAATCATATTGTGTTGCACAAGTCTATAAGGTAAACATTTCAAATCCTAACTTGGCAAGGGAGTGTTTAGAAAGTTTCCAGTTAACAGCTGGTGTGTTTCTATTTTTCTTTTAACTTCTGCAAAATGCTCTCTCCACTAAGCAAAGTAATCATGTTAACTTTAACTTACATAAAAGAAATACTTTATTGTGTCAAAATAAGCTTTTCAAAAAAAGCGTTATTGGCTCACCGGGCATGTGTTACCTACATGCAGAGTAAATTAAGCCAGTCTTAAAATAGATCATTTTAAAGGGGAACTCGACGTTTTTAGCTCCAAATAGATAATAATATCCTCATTAATGTAATTTACAACAAGATACATTAAAGTAAAGTGGCAGGTTTTTGTCAAATATCACATTAAATGTTTTATTTATTTGTGTGCGTGTGTGTGACATTATATATAATCGTTGTCAGCTGGCTCTGCATCTTGTGATTATTATTTAATTGCCATTTTTGTCATCATCAGTTTTAATTTTTGATTACATATTATTTTAAAATGCTTGTATGCGTTTTCAGTTTTCATGTGTAATTGTGGTATTTGTTTTGAAGACGGACGCCATAAACCTGCCGCTGAGTTTAAAAGAGGGGGGGAAAAAGCGAAAAGTGCCGGGGTAATGAATGGCATCAAGCAGTACAAAGTGAGACAGAGAAAGGGTAGGCCTTGTCTTGAGAGATTTTCTGCTCCTGTAGCACAGAGAGCGTGATGTCAGCGGTGGCAGTACTGTTGTAATTGACTTGGTGGGGGTGATGGCGTCATTTTATGCCCTGGTGTAGCCTCCTGCTCCAATATCGAAGGGGAGACGGATCTTTGGCCGACGCGACCGTGGCTCCCTTGGCCGGGATCGAGCACCGCCGAGCCGGACAACTCACCCCGGGAAACATGGAGGCTGTGGCCGAGGAGCTGCGGGCCGGCTCTCGGGTACCTGTCACTATCGATCAAATAGTTAACGATACACTGGTGGTGACGCTGACCTATCGAGAAAGGATCTACACGGGGATTTTACTCGATTGCAACAAAAAGTGAGCACTATTTTTTCCAAACTTCTTTTATATATTATCGTCTAAAAATTATTTGCTAAATACTGCTAACGGCTAATTTACCTTGGATGCTAAGTCAAAGCTAACTATTAGCGACCTAGGCCTTTATACAAAAGGCTTGCAGGTTATTGTAGCTGACAAGGTGGCTATCTGCTAGCTTCTCGGCTAATGTTAAAGTGATGTCATTTTTGCCTATAATAAGACGGCGAAATACTCGATTTTACGATGGAGGAAAACTATATAAAGGTATTAGCCCAGCCTGTAGAGACTGTTAGTGACTTCTGTTGAAAAATATCTACTGTCAGTGGGTTCAGCTATAGCTTATTGTTAGCCTAATCAAGGGAAGAGCAGCTAAAGCGAATCCAGTAAAATAGCCAGGCCTTAGCTATACACTATTTATTTTTATCTGTTTTATTATCATGCAATTGTACAGAAATGTGAATGTGCACTAGTTTTGTAGGCAAATGTCTGAGTACAGTAAGCTGAAATTTATTCAAAGGCAGCAACATTATAACCTGTCATTTCTGACTAGCAGAAACAATAGAAAATTATTAAAATACATTTGAATGATCACAACTGTGTCTCATTTTCAGTAAATCAAGCTTTGGTCTTATCTGTGTCCATTTTAGCCTCTGACAAAGCAAAACACAAAAAATGGGGCTATTGATAGAAAACACAGTCTGTTCAAAAGAGAACCATGCAAGTATAATTTGACATGTACCAGTGTCATGTCTTATCAGGCCCTCTTGTTGTGTGTCACATGTATAAGCCTTGTGTTCCTCCTGGTGCTGTGCACCTTAAAAGCCACTGGCTTTAGGCTATTTATAGACGAGCAGAATCAGAACCTGACCAGCTTTTCCCCTTAGTATGCTTAGATGGTTTTTCGTGCAAGAGCTCATGCTGTACTGAAAATAACCCACCCAAATGGGAAAAGGTCGGCCTTGGAATAACTTAAAATAGGCCTATATTTTAGGCCTTGTCACTGACAAAATTTGACTAATTCCTCCTTTTCAGCTCATGGAAATACACTTCCTGTCATTGTCCGATGCAAACAGATTGTTGCATTATTTTTTTTAATCTTATTGTCTTGCCCTATCATTCTGACAGATCTCCACCACAGCATGAAAAGACAACAGTGTGGTGAATCATGCCTGGCCATATTCTGCGTCCTTGTACTGCGCTTAACTATTACTGTGTGTTCCCTACTACATACAGCCTTGTTTGTGCTGCGTCAATCAGAGTAAAGAGTGATATTCAACAGCTATAGGGGCGCATATTTTGTTATGGGAGCTAAGAGTAACAAGCCTCACCAGGAGACTATTATTTGGAGATGCCTGCCAACTACTTCTCTTGGGGAGGAAAGCAGGCTCCCCAAATGTGCACTAATTAATAATCTTGCCGCACATAAGCCCCAAGTAGACACGGATGCAAAAACAAACTGAAATCTCCTGGCTCCTTCCCTACCTCTCTGAATCCCGAGTGATTCATGGGATTGTTTTTGTTCACTCAGATGTTGGGGAGGAGGGGGTGGTCTCGGGCATCCTGTAGTCTCTTTGTCTGTTGTCTCCTGACTAAGGCAGCACAGCTATGTTACTGTTGCTTGCCAGCCACCTCTCAAAGACTTTCTTGGCAGTTAGGACCTCACTGGACATGTTTGCTGATCCCAGTGTGTTTATAAAAAAAAAAAAAGCACACACACACGCAAAAATCACATTAAAATCACTTAGGGAAAATTCAGCAGCACTGTTGCTTCTGTGGCCTGAGGCTGAGGCACAGATAACTGTCTGTCTGCTTGCACAACAAACCCCAACCCCCACATGTTAAGAACCTTCAGCACCCAGGTGACAGGGAGAGTGACATCAATGTCTCACGTCAAAGTAAAACCAAAACTAGTTATATGTTTGTTTGTTTTTTCGACAATGTGAACAGTTTTGGCTGTTCTTTTATTGTTTCAGTGCTGTCCTACTTGCCTCAGGTTGTGTCACATGTTGAGGCATATTGTTCTAATGGAGGGGATTGTTGAAGTAAAAATTCTCAGGGTTTAGCACGACTGTATCATCTTTGCTGTATAAAGCTTAACAAGATCCACAGCTATTTATACACTGTTTCTTTTTTTCTCTCGTTTATTTTAGGACCGGGCTATTTTGTCTACCAGACTTCACAACAAAACTCGGGGACTGCCAAGAATCTAAACCTGCTTCTGAAATCCAAGAAGTTCTGAGCGAGGACTCGGTTTCCAAATCTCCCAGCCAGGTTTCACACAGACCAAAGGATGAAAACACTCTCCCTGAAAGCAGCATACCTACACCTCCTCTACCCTGCCCCGTTCCCACACCAGTGCCAGCTGGACAGACTCCTTATCCTCCTTATTTTGAAGGAGCCCCCTTCCCCCAGCCCTTATGGGTCCGCCACACCTACAGCCAATGGGTACCTCAACCCCCTCCACGACCAATCAAGAGAAAGAAGAGGCGAACGCGAGAGCCCGGCCGTATGACCATAAGTACTATCCGTCTGCGGCCTCGGCAGGTACTGTGTGAAAAGTGCAAGAACACGCTAAATAGTGACGAGGACAGCAAAGATGGCATGAGCAACACCAAGACCTCTAGAAAAGAAAATTCACTACAAAGTGACGATGACGGCTACGACAAGGATACTCCTAATAAGTTGTCAAGAAAAGAGGACACAGTCACAGCCAAGGACACTAAAAGACGGGAAAATGGCACCAGCCTTGATAGTAAGCGTCTCAGAAAGGACAAAAGGTGCGAGGCTGATGGGGAGAAGTACCCTGGAACTGATGTCATTCCACACAGTCCCGTCATAAAGATCTCCTACAGCACTCCACAGGGCAAGGGGGAGGTTATGAAGATCCCGGCGCGAGTCCACGGTTCAGTCAAACCATTCTGCCCCAAACAGCTGGTGCAGAATGGCGTGGGGGAAAACGACAAGGCAACTTCTGATGCCACCAAGGAACAGCGGCACATTCTAGATGCCACAAGGTCTGGCCTCACTGTGTCCATTCCCAAACTCAAACTAACAAGACCTTTTGCAAATGTAGGTCAGGACACACCTTCTCCAAAGATCCGTTTGAGACCCCCTCAGAGGGACACTGAGGAGAGCGTGGTCGAGTATGATGCGGAACTTCTTGGAGGCACCAGGAGACGGAGCCCTAGGGGGCCCGGGCCGTGTCTCCCGCACTCCGAAGACTCAGGAGAAGGCAAGAACTCTCTGGAATTGTGGTCAGGGAGTTCAGGTGAGGAGGCGGATCGCGGCCACAGCGACCTCACCCTTCTCATTAACTTCCGTAAGCGTAAAGCAGATTCTTCTAGTTTGTCGGTGTGCAGTAGCGACAGCCTGGACGAGTCAAAGTCCTTCAGCTCGGACGGCACCTCACCAGAGCTGTGCGATCTGGCGCCTGGTGAAGACCTCTCTGTAACCTCATCTTCTGTACCTTCACGGGACGACTGCAAGACGGTGCCGCCTCTCACAGTGCGGCTTCACACCCGCAGCATGACAAAGTGTGTGACAGAAGAAGGTCACGCCATAGCGGTGGGTGACATCGTGTGGGGGAAAATCCACGGCTTCCCCTGGTGGCCCGCACGCGTCCTGAGCATCAGCGGCACTCGCAAGCAGGAGACAGCCAGTTGCGAGGCCCAGTGGCCCCAAGCCAAGGTGGCGTGGTTCGGTTCACCCACAACCTCCCAGCTTTCTGTTGCCAAACTGTCGCCCTTCAGAGAGCTCTTCAGGTCCCGCTTCAACCGGAAGAAGAAAGGGATGTACCGGAGAGCTATCCTGGAGGCAGCCAAGGCCGTGGGTCACATGAGCCCGGAGATTACGTCACTGCTTTCTCACTGCGACACGTAGGTGAGTTCATAGCACTTACATGTGCCTGTATCACTACTACTATAAACATAGAATATTACAGAAATCGTTACCGATCACCTGCATTTTTTTTTTTTTTTTCAAACAATGTCTACATGGTAGATGAAGGAAACGCTTTAAGTGAACCTAAGAGGATAATACAAGCAGCCAGTTGGTGTTGTCGTTGTGTGCTCCCCCACAAAAAAACAAAACAAAAAAACGAGGCCCACACAAACACACGGACCAACACCAACTGGCTGCTTGTATTTTAGATTGTATTTTATTTTTTTAGATGACAAAAAAAAACTCGGTCTAGTCATCAGTGGCCCAACTGGTAGTTTTAATCACAATGATTGACTATGAGAAACAAGTCTGACTCAGCAAGAACAAATGTTGGGAAAATTACAGCACAGAGCTGGTGCGGATGAGCAAGAGCTGCCAGTGTAGAAATGTTGGCTGTGCAGACACAATACGGGCTGCATGCATGAGTCAGTTGATTGACAGTAAGTCAGCACGTTTCTCAGTTTTTGGCACTTTCTGTTTTGTTTTGTTTTTTAATATGAACCTTTTCTTTCTTAAACTATTAGAAATTGAGTAACTTTGATATTTGCATTTCTTCTTTCATTTCCCCCCCCCCCCCCCCAAAAAAGCGCACACACCAGAAAGAATGTACAGCTAAGCTAAAAGTGTATGTTTTTAATTTATTTCAATTGTGTCCCTCTTGATTGTATATATTTCTCCTGTTTGCTATTTATTCCTTTATATTTTATGCTGGAGCAGTTAGTATAGAGCCCCACAATTTTGTAGTACAAGTGCAATGACAATTGTTAAATATTCCCTGTGCCTCTCCGGCTGTATTCACCAGCTCTTCCCTCAAATATCTGTGAAACCTGTAATTTGATGAGCATGTTAAACTTTAGGGCAGAATGCTGAGCTAAAAGAAAAAGAGCTTGTGCTCCAACCCGCTCTAGTACCAAACACTTTGAGCTGTGTCGTGCCAGCCTCGCTGCATTCACGTCCTGAAACAGGTGCTGTGTTTGAGGCAGCAGAGCAAACATTAACACAAGCTCTAATGAAGGCACAGGCTGTGCGGCTGCCTGTCAACAGGGATGGTTTGTTTAAAAGGCTCATTTCAGAAAAGGGCTCGCATCAGCCTGTACTGCTTCAATTCAAGCAATCGGAGTGCATGACCATAAGTTGTTTCTTTTTTTTTTTTAAAGTCATCTCTTATTTGGTTGTCGTCCAAGTGTGGTGACCTAGCCTGGGTAGCCAAGCAGCAGGTTCCTCAACATACACTCAATGTTAAATATTGTCTCTGAGTGATAGAAGGGGCAAACAGACCATTTCCAACCCCACTGTTTACTCTGTTACGAGCACAGCAGCCAAGAGGGAATTGGTTATAGCAGAGGATAAACAGTAAGGGGTTAAGGCAAGCCTATATTTGGTGCCTTTTCCAGACCTCATAAAGGAAGCGTTTTTCTTCCTCTGTCAGCTACACAGAGGTTTCACATGACTGATATAACATGTTGAGCACAACATCAAACGCACTGCTGATTCTTGCAGACTCAGTTAAAAATGACCTGCACCGGATGCATGACCTGCCTTGTTTGCTCATTGTCTATCCCCCTTTTGCCTCTCTCTCTTTTTTTGCATAGAGCCTGAGGACTGAAGACAAGTCTCCGAGGTTTTTCTGAATTCTCAGACTATGTCATCAAGACCCAGGAGGGAGTACGTGTGGTTGCCACGGCTACTATTTATACGCCCTCTCATTTTTTAAAATTTTTTTTTTTTCTCACAAGGCTGGTGGAAAATGGCCGCCAAGGTGGAGTGTTCTTGAGACCGGATAAGGGAGCAAAAAATATAAAGGCCTGGCATCTCATGGTCTTCTATGAACTATAAACTATTCCTCCTTTTTTTTTTTTTTTTTTTTTTTTTTCCTTTCCTAGATTTAATCATATTTCAATAGAGCCGAATAACAACACTACAAGGACCTGAATGTATTTATTGTCTGTAATGTTTTATTATGATCCAGTAAGTTCACCCTTTCTACTACAGTCTCGCAAAAACCTCCCAATCTGCTGCTGTCATTATCGCGGGCCTTGCCGCCGTCGTCGTTTGGCTCCAAGGTTCCCCTCCTCCAGCCAAGAAGGCTCCCCCTCCTCTTCCTCCTTCATCCCTCGGACACAAGTTTAAAAAGGAAAAAAAGTCTTACCCCAAAACCTCTTTTCCTCTGAAAATGTGAACAGCTCCATCCAGAGACAGTAGTGACTGTTTCCAGCTAGCGATCACAGTGTTTCATCCTCGTAGCCTTCCGCGACATTAGTTGGATTTGTGGATGTATTTATACTGAACTCTGTTCCTCTCCTGGTTCATGTCGTGTCTCTTTTCCATTTCATTTTCTAACGTTACGAGTGTCATGTCGGCGTACTCTACCCCTCCCAACGCTTTTGTTTTTTTGTTTGTTTTTTTTCCCCTGAGAACCATTATTAATTATTTAAAAGCGTCACGTTTAAGAAAAAAAAAAGCACTTTATCTGTACCTTGGTGGCCTGCTGTAAGCTCACTGTCTGAAACACTATTGCGAGATACAGCCCTGTTAGGCTGCAGGGGAATTCAAAAGTCTTTGTGGTTGACTATCCATGGCCTTGGAGATACAAAACAACTTTTTTTTTTTTTTTGTCTTTTTAGTCGTACAATTTCGGGGACACCAGACACAGATGGTTGTGTACACTGTATTCTCGCATTTTGACTTGGGTGCGTTTCTCTCTCACTACAAAAAAAATTCTCCATGTTTTAACATTATCCACTGGAAAAACATGGACGAACAAGCGCGTCAGAAGTCCCCTATGCATTATCAGTTAAAGCTTTATGAGTGACTTTGGGAGAAGAAGAAAAAATAACATGCTGTAAGAATACTGTGAATTCAACTGCTGAGTGTGCTGAAGATAAAAGGAAAAAAACCCTGCTTGCTACTAGTTGGAGCAGTTATATTGAGACATCAGGCAAAAGCAGACCGACTGCGCCGCTGACCTTTAGTGACCTTTTGTGTTGAAAGCAGCACAGTTGGATTTAGAGGGGAAGGGAGGGAAAGGCGAGGCAGCCCTGTCGGTGTTTAAAAACGTAACTTAACGTTGCGCGCAGTCACACTCAGCAGACCGGTCCGTCTGCTTTCTGTCCGCCTGGAAACTGTTCGTTCCCATCGAGGCTTGCTGTCAGCGAAGCGTATTTTTAAAGGGGAGCAGTTTAATGCACTCTTCTTTCTTTTTTTCTTTTTTGATAATCTGCAGTTTGACGGTTTGTAGTCAAGCGCAGCTAGGTCCCAGGCAGCCTTACAGTTTAAGAGTCTATACGTACGTATGCCTGAGAGGGGAAGTGGTCGACAGGATTTTTCCCCACATATGAGCAACATGGCTGTCTACTGTTGCCCACGTTGGTCAATAATATTAGCTACTTTTTTTTTTTTTACATGTACTGTACATAAAATAAAATATACAAGCAATACTTGTCACTTTGTCATTGATGATCAAAAGGGCTCCTGTTTTTGTGGTACCTCATGTTAGTGCAGTCCATTAATTGACTTCAGAAGTGCAGGAGTGACGTCTGATGATATTGTAGCAATATTATCAGAGTTATTTCAGCTTGAGGCTTGAAAGTTTAGACAAAATTCCCTTGATCTGATAAGTGTTTTGTGGGAAAGTGTGTGACTCTTGTTAAGTCGGATGCTAGAGTCTTTTTATATCTCGCGGGATTGGTCCTATATTTCAGTTCTTTGTTGTTGTTTTTTTTTGTTTTTGTTTTAAGCTGGCTCAAATCCAGTGTGCATCAACCAGCTTGTTGTCTCGAGGAAAAAACACAAAGTTCAATAAAAGTGTTTACGTTTTTATTGATTTATAAAATGATTTGCTTTCAGTTTGTTACAAAGTGGAGTCCAAAAAGGCACTGATGAAGTTAAACGTGCACAGAGGCAGGGACTAAATTTCAATATAACCTCCTGCAGGGTTCACGCGGATTTCCTTATTATGAAAAGCAGAATCGATGATTTTTCTTAACACGTATTAAACTGAACCAGCGGGTTTCCGTCATGTTCTTTCGTCCAATTTCACACCTCCTGAGAGGCCTGCTAGTAATTTGATCTTTTCCTTTAAAGCTCAGTTTTGTGGGTTGAAGGAACTGCAGTTTATTCATTTAGTTCAGCAAAGTCGAAATTTTGCAGCAGTCTGAAAATTAAGAATACATTTAATAAGTAATGACTAATCAACACAGTTCCTATATGAACTTTCATGGTGCATATACTGCTAGTATGTGAAGGGCAAAAGGTGAATGTATTGCTTCTGTTCTATATCGTAATATATTCATCAGCACAACTGTAACCAGTATACAGTGAATAGGAAGCAGAAGTAAGTGGATGGATGGCTTATGGCTTCTATCCCCTGGCATCCATTGTTCAGTGTGTCAGATTTACATGTTTCAAAGAATAGCTTGACATTGTGTGAAATCAGAAGATTCATAACTACATTTATGTCCAGCTGCTGCTCGTAATATTTCTGAGCTGTCAGCCTCAACAAGGCCTCAGTTCTGTTTCAGGTTGGAACTCGACAGCCTATCTGTAGATTCCTCGGTGGTCTCTGCTCAGGTTTGGCAACACCTTGCGCTGCTAAAATTGGTTTTACAGCCTTTGGTTTGTTCTTGTTTTTCTCCTTGCGTAACATAGGAGTAATTTCAAACCCCTGAAAATAAACTGAGGCTTGTGTAAGGTTTGAGTGGAAAGACATGTAATGCCTGGATGGTTAAACTTTAAACACTGTCTTATTGATAGGCTCTCTCTGCGCTGTCCTCAGTCTTCCTTCCTGTCTGCCCTCCTCAGTTATTATCATATGATGCCTGTTTAATTTAGAGCCTCCATGTCATAAATAGGAGGATTTAAGTATGTTTGTTGCATAACTAGTGCGGGCGGGTCACCTCACATTGACCAGCCTATCTCCTGATCAGATCATTTTACTATAT